TGGTATACATCTGACCTTGGGGCGTGCAATACCAGAGTGGGATGCCCCATCCATGATGGTCGTAGCTACAGTCGTATCAATACGGTGATACATATCCTTATTCCTTATCAGTCTTACGCCTCTTCCTCGCTCGACCTTCGCTCGGAGATCCACGCACCGACATGTGTGTCACCGCGGACTCCTCAGCATCAGGACAATCAACAATCTCCAGACTGTCTGGCGTCTTGTCAACCAACTCGCTCCAGTGATCAAAAATCCTCTCAAGGCAGGGGCTGAAGGCGTTCGCCTCCCAATATCGCTGATATTGATTATGCGCGTCAACGAGGGTCTTTCCAATCTCTCGCAGATTCTGCAGCCATGGTAAGAATTCCACTCGCACCATGTCTATATTGATGCTTTGAGGCTCGGCACCTTACCCAACTTGATGAAATGTGTCCGACATATGGCGGTGGCTTCTCCGAGCCCAAACAGAGTCTTCGTAGTACAATCGGATCGAAGGCAGGTACGTTGTGCAACACCTTATAAACCGCCACCCAGTACATTTCTTCGGCGTCATGAAGAGGTGTGACCCAGAAGTCCGGGATTGACATGGCTGGCTGAATAGGGTCGGAGGCTTGCGACTGCCGGTCGGTATTGGATCCCATCTTGGAAAACACACGCCGGAGGCTCCGAGCTGTGCCACCTACTATGTCGTGCACCGGAACACGAAGCTCGCTGAACACTTCCCAACATTGATTAACGTTGGCATAACTTGCCAGCCACTTGTCCTACTTCACCTCCCCGGTTACGTTGGTCGGGGTGGCTTTGAGATTGCCAGAGAGACCGATGGATGACCCTGGAGAATTCAGGGCAGTTTATCAAGCCAGTCGTATGGTTCCACACGATTCATCACGTCAACCGCACACTATCAGGTTTGATGAGCAATGATAAGATAAGATGTACATACCTGGCACCTCTTGTTTCGACAACGACAACAATATTTCCGGTAATATATCCTAGGCCGAACACCACGGTACCGGATATAAGCCACCGGCAATGAGTGGCGCTCCTCTCCTGCTGGCCGTCCAAATCTGCGTTGACGTCGTCCTTTGCGACTCGACCTCCCTCTGTTCACATCACAATGTCGGACAACTCTGGCTCATCTGGATCCTCTAATCCTGCCCCAACTCTCCCTTCCATACCTTCATCATCAACTCCACGACAAGATCTCGTCCAGAATGCAGTCACGTTCCTCCTCGACCCTTCCGTACAATCCGCACCCTTGGCAAAGCGGATCGCCTTCCTAGAGTCAAAGGGCCTGTCTTCATCAGAGATTGAGACGGCCTTACACCAAGTCAGCTCTAGAGGGTCGACAGCTCCAACTCATGCACAAGCTGGTACGGGTAGGGTGACATACAACCCTGGGGGCTCAGGGTACGGACAGGGAACTGCGGCAGGAACACACCTGCAACAGATGGTAGCTCCTCAAGCTCCAGCTAGAGATTGGAGGGATTACTTTGTGCGTCTTATCTTTGGACCCGACTATGTACGCTGACAATCTGCAGATTATGGCCATCGTCTCTGGCGGTGTCACCTTTGCGCTCGTCTCCCTCTTCAGGCGCTATGTCCTCCCGCATCTCCTTCCACCAAGTGGGCCTGCGTTCCAACAAACGAGCGACGCCCTCACTTCTGCATTTGATTCCCTCGCCGAACAAGTTCGGAAGTTGGAAGAAGCGCAGGAGAAAGAGAAGACCGATCGAGAGAACGAGCGAGAGGAGGTGGAGAAGGTACTGGGGGAGGTGAGGGAGGGGGTGAAAGACGTCAGGGAGGGCGAGGAACGGGCAAGGGAGGAGTGGGAAGAAGTCAGAAGGGAAATGGAGGGAATCAAGGAGCTTGTACCCAAGGTAAGCTCCCCTGATCCTAGTCATCATAGGACGTACTCGAAGTACATGTTATTGAACCAACCGCCAGATGCTCGAACGCCTCACGAGCAACCAAACCCGTACTCTCACAGAACTTCAGCAAGAGCTCAAGTCCCTCAAGCTGCTCTTGCTCAACCGCACTCCTGGTGCACACTTGCCTTCCGCACCCTCACCATCATCCTCACCAGCCCCCTCGAATGCCACCGGTCATGCAAGGTCCTCAACCTTAGTCACCGGTTCAAGCAACACATCCTCACTGGGTACAAGCACGCCTGCGACTCCGGTACCCCTACAACAAGCCTCTCCCTTCCTTTCTGGCTTCGGGCTTGGAGGCACCGGTCGACCCAGCATTCCGAGCTGGCAACTGCGCCCTACCGCCGGCCAAGAAGCAGAGGTGTCTGGGAGCAGCGGTAGCGGTAGCACCAAGGGGAAGGAAGTGCTTGTTTCGGAGGAAGCCAGTGTTCCGGAAATAGGAGAGAGAGAACAAGAGGCGGCTGTATAGCCTGATCCAGACTGTGCTGGATACATGTACTTCTGAAGTCGCCTTTCCGGAAACACTACCCGTATCATGTACGCGTACGAGACTGATAAAAATGCCATGTCATTGTCTCTGCTGAGACTCATGCTTGTTATGTGGTACACATATACAATTCCTGGTTCATACACCTGTACCTCCCTTCTGTCGGAGCTCTGTATCTTCTCCAAACTCAACAGTCCCTCCTCGTAAAAGCTCGTCCGTTACAACACAGAAGATCATCGAGGAACAGTTGTAGACTTTGCAGTGTCGACTAGGCCGTCTTGCGGTTAGCCGTACCTCTTTTCTGTCGAACGAGACGAATGTGGTGAAGCTGATAAATACCAGTCCCTTGTCCTCGGGCTGCGCATTTGTGAAATATCGACAGTTTGTGATTACGCGTTTTGGTGCGTGTTGTGTCCTTGAGCCCATGGCCGAGCGGGAGGACAACTTTGGCCATGCTTGTGATTACGTTTCATGCCTCCGAGTCATGGCTGAAAGAACATTCCCGACTCAATCATCATCCAACCGAACTGATTCGTCACCAGTCGTCCCATAATCTGAACAGCGTCTCAAGCGCGCGGTCTTATGGACGAAAAACTGTCACGTACCACCTATACACCCACATTTGACAGTCATACTTCGTTCCCTTCTCCTCCTGAATGCCCTCCGGTACAGGTACCGCTGCCCACGCCTGCAGCTCAGCGTGTGACGCTTTAGTCCATCTGGCCGGCTGTGACGCCTTCCCTGTGTCTTCTGGTGCAGGCGCTTCTGACTGTTGCTTTGCGGCACCCGGAAGAGCTTCAGACGATTCTAGGATATCGGGGAAGAAAACATCACATTCTTCATAGTCGGGTGAAACGACGCGCGTCATTAGAATGCGGTCAAATGATGGGTGGGAGATCAGCGACTTGTACAGTGCTGCTCCGCCGATGATGAAGAATCGATAGATAGGCTTTGGTGGCTGAACAGATCCAAGATCGGAGAGGGAAGCAAGGTGAACCGTATTTGGAATGCCAATGCTAAAATGAATCAGAGAAGTTAACGGAGAAAGAGCACATGACATACAGATGCGGCATCTCTCGACTACTCAACACGACATTCCACCTTCCCTTCAACGGTCTAAACTTTTCCGGTATGCTCTCCCACGTGTTTCGTCCCATCACAACGGCGTTCATTTTGCCCTCTGGGGCGGCGGAGGTGATGCGAGCGAAATAGGCCATCTCTCGAGGGAGACGCCAAGGCAGCGTGTTGGTTCGCGATATCCCGATCCCATTGGCCTGAGTGGCCGCAACGATCATTGTAAGTGGTGGGAGATTCTGAGGGACAGGAACATCTGTTAGTTGTTGATAACGTAGATAGACTATGGAATCACCATCATTTAGTCAATCGAAGCCATTGAACAGACGCGACTCCTTGGAAAGGTCATAAGGCGCGTTCTGTGGCACAGACGCGTCTGTGAACCAGACTTCGAAGTTTAACCGAAGCGACTCCGGGACGACAACAGCCGACTTGAGATTAGAACGTGGGGAGTTCTCATACAACAAGCACTGCACCTGGCACATACAGATGCTCGGACGCTATACATGACTATAGTTAAAGAGGAAACATGAACTGTATCCATTGCAGCGTGTTGTTCAACAACCTACATTACACGTAGCCTTGGGTCTGCACCCACATAGGCAGCGATCAGCCTTTGACGATCTCTCAGAGCAACTCCCTTGCCTTGTCTAGGCAGCCCATAATACGCCTCCCAACCTGCAACGACGTTGGTCGACGCCGTGTAAATAACGGTCAGTGATGTAATGAGAGGATGCGGTCCCTATTGACTAGCAAGGTCAATGGATCGCTCTTAAGAGTGCAGAGAACGTACCGGGTCCTCCCCACCTCGGCCAGAGAAGACTGGCTCGTAACGAATGCTTGAACCATCGCCACGCAAGGCGTTCGCCGACTGGCGAAGCCACGTAAGCCAACATGCATTTGGCAGTTGAGCGAACAAGATTCTGTACCTTAGCAGCTAAATTATATGTTTGGGCCATCTGCGCCTCGAGACGGCTCAGGGCGATCCTTTGGGCGAGTTCCATAGCATTAAGCGCCCGCATGAGCGGTCCGTCTTCGGCATCTTCTTGCCCGTCTGTACATGCCATGAGCGAGAGAACGTGTGGAAAATAGACATCCCACACTTGAAGAAACCTCTTTGACCTCTTTGTGATACCGGGGGGGCGGGAGGGGGGCGCGTACTAGAGACTTCACTCATCCTATTGAGTTATGTGGCATGAATCCACTCTCCCGCCATCTTTGGCTCAATTGCCGTGCTTTCAATCTTCGGACGCAGGATGAAAGCACTCGAAAAACAGACATTGGACATGGCTAGATGGTGCAGTGGCTGGAAAAGCTGTCGAGACGATAGTAGCACAAACTGAGGTATGGCTGATGATCAGAGTAAGACGTATCGTATTGCAGCTAGACGCGTGAAAATATAATGAGCGGACGTGTCAAGAATGGCCAAATCTTACGGAAGTGATGAGAATGGCACGCATTTTATTAGCATGTGTTGTCCCGCAGTAGTCTAGACTAAAAACACATGAATTAGATTGTATTGAGAAGTGCGACATTGAGACAAAGCGGTGCCCGAGGCATTGTATCGTCATACGCAGATTTCCTTCAGAGTGTTGAAGGCATGTTTTCAGGCAGAACGCACGAGCAGCCAACGGCACATCTCAAAGGAACATGTTTAGTCCAGCGTCTTGGTAACGATGCCGGTGCCAACTGTTCAAGCCTGTCAGCAAGACTGGGATAGTATGCGTTATTAGCGGTGACGTACTTGTCTTGTTGCCCTCTCGGAGTGTGAAACGCGAGCCCTGCTCAATGGCAACGTTCTTGTCCAGATCAAGGATGACTTCCACGTTGTCGCCAGGCATAACCATCTTGTCCTCTGGTGTTCCCTCAGGGAAGGTCACGGTAGCAGTGATGTCGGCAGTGCGGATAAACAGCTGAGGCTTGTAGTTCGACACGAACGGGGTGTAACGCCCACCTTCGTCCTTGGTCAAGACCTGCCCCATTGGTCAGCAAACTAGTCTGCGGTAGGTACAGAAAGAGACGCACGTAGACCTGGGCCTGCACTTTCTTGTGTGCCTTGATCGCGCCGGGAACAGTCAAGATCTGGCCACGATGGACCTGCTCGCGCTTGATACCACGCAAGAGGGCACCGCAGTTGTCACCAGCCTCAGCGCGGTCGAGCTCACGATGAAACATCTCTGTCCAACGTCTCAATGATTCCAGTCATTGTGGTCCGGGCAAGGCTACGTACCAAGACCAGTGATTGTCGTCCTGATCGAGTCGTTCAGACCAAGAATCTCAATATCGGCGCCCTTTGTGATCGACCCACGGTCCACACGTCCCGTCACGACAGTACCACGTCCAGCGATGGAATAGACACCCTCGACCGACATAAGGAAAGGCTTGTCGAGATCACCTATAACGCTGGTTGGCTGATGCAATAGGGATCTTGACACCGATAATACATACGAACGGGGAGCTCTAGCCAGTCATCACACGCCTGGACAAGCTTCTTGATCCTTTCTGAGCCAATTTCCGGGGTCTTTCCCTCCAGAGCCGCTAAAGCAGAGCCCATGATGATAGGAGTGTGCTCGCCGTCGAAGGAGTACTGGGTGAGCAGGTCGCGCATTTCCATCTCCACAAGCTCGAGCATCTCCGGGTCGTCGATGGCATCAATCTTGTTCACCCAAACAACGAGCTTTTGAATACCGACTTGGCGGGCGAGGAGGAGATGTTCACGTGTTTGGGGCATCTGGCCATCGGTAGCGGATACGACCTGCTAGGTGTCAGTACTTTGAGAGCAACACATGGCCTGTGAAACACACAATAATAGCACCATCCATCTGCGCTGCACCCGTAATCATGTTTTTAATGTAGTCCGCGTGTCCTAGACGCTCATTGGCGGAATATTCAGGCTATTTTGACTCTCACTCACCAGGGCAGTCGATATGACCGTAATGTCTCGCAGGCGTCTCATACTCGACATGGGCCGAATTGATTGTGATTCCACGCGCCTTTTCCTCAGGCGCCTTGTCAATCTGTGCGTAGTCTGTAAATTTTGCTCCACCTGACTCTGACAACACTTTCGTGATCGCTGCGGTGAGCGTCGTCTTTCCGTGGTCGACGTGTCCGATTGTGCCGATGTTCAAGTGGGGCTTTTCACGGGTGTAACTGGCATAAGTGCGTGCTACAATACTGTCAGTTTCTTCTCAGCTCAGCTATCAAAGTAGAAGACTCACCAAGAACGAACAGACTCGGCCTCGGTGCCCAGGTTTGTGTTGAGGTGCTCGCACGAGGGTTTGGAATTCTCCGGACAAATGAGCGTGTTGCTGCACATCGATCAAGTCAGCTAGCATATTCTTCTTCCCAAAATAAAATATAATATACCTGCCCGGAACGGTGCAGCAACCGCCACGGGTGCGTACACCTTAAGCATCCTAAGGTCAAGCTAGGAAGACGATTGCAGGTGCGGCAAACAGTTAGGTACCGTAGCGCAGGGAATTTTCAGAGGGTCCAGCACCGCCACTAACCATATGACCGTGACACGCCAGAATCGATACTGTTCCTCTCATGCATCCCCCTCGTACTTCTATGTCCTGATTGCTGTTCACAGGCTCTAATCTATCTTTTGTATGTCCAACTCGCACAACTGAGAATAATGGTTCGTCTTCTGAACGGACAATGCGTTGTTAATCACGTGCGCACGCGTCCAGTGCATATCCTCAGGTGCTGCACGCGACATTTCGTCAGTCTGCTTCCCAGACAGTCTTTCATTCTCACCATCACAACACATACATTCCCTTGATCGAACCATTCCAAAAGCACACAAACAAACCCATGGTCCTAGTGCGCCGGCAGAGTCACCCGGTCCGATCAGAGACCCCCTCATCTACGACGATCTTCTCGTCGAGCTCTACTTCGTGCATGTGCGGACCGCTGCTATACACTCGTTATCGCGTGTGGCTCTCATCACATCTAACACTGCATGAGCAACCAATCCCATGAGACAAAGACCAAGAAAGCAACAGTCGATGAGTTCAAGGGTGTGTGACAGTGAGCGGGAGGTCTCCAAACAGTGACATAGTACGTGATAAGAAAGCGACACTCGTTTCCTCCCTGATGCGCTTCACAGGCGATGACGAATGCCGTACATTCCAAGCCTGAGAAGACTCGTGAAATTATGCAATCTACGGTGGCTGTCTGACCCGGGGTGATAGTTTGGCTCGGGGGCCCTCCACGCCTTGAGATCTGGACTGAATGTGCTCATTAATGTGATGAACTCATCCCTTCTTCCTCAAGTAACTGTTGACTCACTTTGCTTTCCCAAAGTGCCAAGAGGCGAAGTGGAGAGGACCATGACTCTGCTCATGAACCACTCTGCAGTTTTCGAGATACATCTAACCAAGTACGTTCTGCAAAGAATTACGTATTCCTTGTCCCAAACTGAATATCCACTGGACAACACTCGTAGCCTCTTATAAGTCCGTTGCGGCCATCCTTGATGCGTCCACCGCCTTGCCTGCAGGTCGGGAGAAGTGTTGAGTGAGCGACCGCCGCGTTCCCCGAGGAGACGCTACTGCGAGGAGCATAATCGCGCACGTAGCTGTTCGCATAAATTTGCTTCTCAACATCCTTACAGTCGGACAATTGCGTCAGTATCCAGCCATTCGGCCAGTTCATTTATATTCAGAGCGCCAAGCCGATTCCGGGTATGTGGTCTGTTCCATGGTCCATCCCTGTGATGGTGCTTATCGAATTTTCAGCAGGTGTGCATTACGGAGAGAAGAGCAGTACAAGAGTAAGTACGAGAATACGGTTGACCAGTTGCATTTAATGACGTAAAATAAGCACTGTACAGAACTGGGTCATTTCGGTGTCGTCTGATGTCATGCAATGGAAGAGAGTGGGACCGGACATGGACTTATCTCAGCACTGGACATGCTGTATATATGCGATGGAGCGGCGAGACTCAAAGGCTGAATACTCCTTTTTTTTTTTGTTGTTAACCCCACCGGTTGCTGACATATCTGAAACGCGTGTGGGGAGTTCGGCTCCGGGAGCTCGCCTCCGCACCCCCACGCCGAACATACGCGTCCAGGGGGTCTCGCGCCTTTGGTCGGTATTTACCGCGAGACCCGTGGCAATTTTGCGCCTCTCCACGAAGAATTACCATGTTTGTGGTTAGTAACTTTCTCGCTCAAGAAGACGACATGCTGAGATGAACTGTACATGTCTGGCAGAATAATACCAAGCGTCGGCCTTCTGCCGGGGTGGATATTCTATTGTTTGAGGACAAGTAGAATGACGATGCGACTGGACCCGTGGCTGGATTTTCTCCGAGCTAGACTAACGCTCATTGACAGCTCACCGCGCATCGCAGCATATGGCAACTCAATCTCAGCTAATCTGCCCTCATTAACAGTGACCACATAACCAGTGCGCAGGTTCGCACGCAGTTTCGGCCCTGACGTGCTGTGCCTCCGGGAACGCCGTTCGTCTGGTGATTTTATAGTTTTCTCCACCTACCGTCCCCGTGCCTTGACTCGAGGCACGTGTTATTTCCATCGTGGGACACACGGTGGGCGGCTTCCCCTCTCAGTTCAGCACTGCCGCTGCTAGGGACTCGGCCGGTCCCTCTCTGCCCCTTGGCAGGCGCGCAGCGATGACGGGACGAGTGGTGGGAGATTTTTGGCTTGCAACTATATATGGCGGTCTGGCAGGGCACATCAGGCCATCGTTCAATAATTTCTGCGATTCCGAGGTCGCATCAGCTTATATCTGGTGGAACGACAAACCTTTTCGCTGCTATAATTGGGCTCAACTTTTGAAGCACTCCTCAGCTCCCTTGCTCCCTCGACGCACCCTCACTCCCACACCATGTCCAGCAATCTCTCTTTTTCTCCCTATGGCTACACCCCCACCCTATATGTTTGCGCGATCTACGTCGCCCTTTTCTCTCTCTCAACTTTTCTACACTTCTTCCAGTCTCTTCGCTCTCGGCTTTGGTGGCTTCTTCCCACACTCGTAGCGGGAGGCACAGCAGAGATTATTGGCTGGAGCGGACGCCTATGGAGCGCTAAAGAGCCGAATAACCTGAACCCCTATCTCATGCAGTACGTTTTTCTCAGCGCGTTAGAAAAGAGAGGCTGATGTGTTGGTTATAGAATAACCACCACAATCATGGCACCAAGCTTTATGACCGCGGCAAACTTCTTAATCTTGGGAATCATTATCTCCCGCTTAGGGGTTCAGTACTCGCGCCTTTCTCCACGAGCATGTGTGTGACCCTGCTCGTAACTCCCATTACCCGAGCTTATCTTCCTTAGATTCGATTGTCTTCATCACCGCCGACCTCGTTGCCCTCATCGTGCAGGCTATTGGAGGTGGTATGGCCTCGGTCGCCGTACAAAACGAGACAAAAGGGAAGAGCGGTAACCCGGAAAACGGCGCGCACATCATGGTGGGCGGCATCATATGGCAAATGGCGGCAATGACGATCTATGTCGTCCTGGCCCTCGAGTTCTTCATCAGGGTACGATTGGACAAACCTGTGAGGCAACTTCCCGACGTGCTAGGATCTTCGCGCACAGACGAGAGCTCGTCGGTCGAAGGGGAGAAGCGGAAGAGCCGATGGGGCATCAAGGTGCATGTCCACCCACACGTTGAAGCCGACACCGCGCTCGCAGCCAAGGTTCGCACGCACGGGTTCGGTTTTGCCGAAGGCTCCAAGCTTTCTCTCGTCATGACTGCCCTCTTCCTCTCCACTTTGCTCATCTACATGCGGAGCATTTATCGTACGATCGAGCTGCTTGATGGCTGGACGGGAAGGATCATCACGACCGAGCTCTACTTCAATGTTCTCGACGCGATGCCTATCACTCTCGCGATGTTTACGATGAATTTGTTGCATCCGGGATGGTTGCTCTATGGCAAGGACACTGGAAAACACCCCCAGGGTGGGTTCGAAATGATGGAGACTGATGTGCAGGCCGAGAGGGAGCATGAGGAAGTATAACTTCGGATGGCATGAGGGGCATTAGAGTCGGCGGCCAGAAGGCTGACAAGTGAGGACAATGAATGTCAGATGTAATAATGATCAGGAACGACAATATGTCTTCTAGCATCTACTGTAGAACTAGTCCTCTAGAACGTATTGCATACAATATTCAATCACTCGGATATGGAATGTCGGAGAATGAGGAGCCGCTGAGGATGGATGGATAGCAATCGGAGATTATATGGGCTCTGGTGCGACTGCTGAGTAAACCGGTGTTGAGGTTGTCACGTCATTGGCCGACTTTGTAATAAACGTCTACGGCCCGTCTCCTAGCGCCCAGCTCGCCTATATCGGCGTTAGACCCATCCAGATATCCGGGGGAAAACAAAAGCTTACTCGTCCCATCAGAGATGCCCAGATGCTCCACTCGCTGAAAGCCAACCTCTTGAAGCAAGCACAACTTGAAATCGGAAGGACGAAGCGAGAGCGTCTTGTACGTTTCTCTTAATATCTGTTTCCAGGTGAGAAAGTGCGCATACATGAGATGAACAGGCAGGCTGCCATACCGGATTACCGCGTGCTGCACGCCGGTAGCCCTCCCAGTCCTGCAGCTCCAGGACGAGCGCCCCGTGCGGCCGTAGTGAGTCGTGGATTCGTTTGAAGCAGGATAGAAGGCCTTGGTCGCCCCCGTTCAGGTGGAGCCATTTCGCCACAGACAGGCTAGGGAGGCAGACTCAGCAAGACAGCCGCGGGGAGGCAGCGGGGAGGCAGAGAGAGACATACAGCAATATGACGTCCCACCCCTTCTCATCCTCCAGCACAGGGGCAGACGAGTAGTCCAAGCAGCGGAAAGAGACGTTGTAGGGCCATTTTGCATTTTGACTCGTCGACTTTCCCTCATCGTCAGAAATGGACGGAGCCGGTGGGAGAGGTAGAGGCCCAAACATATGCGGCATGCTTGCAGGAAAGTGGTCGTTTCTTCTCCCTTGACCGAGGGCGGACGGGCCGCCGTTGCCTCTGGATTGAGAGTCGACATTCCCATTCATCTGGTGGAAAGAACCTGGAATAAGGGCAGCATCGTGGTCTTCCGGATGCTGTAGGCTCCATCGCAGTCTTCTCCTTTCCCTTGCTGCAGTCACGAGCTCCTCATCCACGTCGACGCCGAGGACCTCCGCCGCTCCCCACTCCTGTGCTTCCAGCCATCCGTCAGTTTCATTGAGTGCTCTGAGGAAGTGACGCACCGATCTCTAGAGTGACGAGGCCTTCGTTGCATCCAACGTCGAGGACGCGTTTGTCCTTGAAGAAGTTTGGGGGGAGAAGAGCAAGGCGCGGATCGTGCGATGTGGTAGGACGGGTGAGGTAGTACCTAGTCACTGTCAGTATCAAGGACGGCTCATGGTGATAAAGATGGTGAACGTACTTGTGGAAGTTGCCATGCTGGGGCGTGTGGTTACGTTCCATGACATGCAGGGACTATGCGTATGGTGGTGGGTCGGAAGAGACCGGCCATTGATGATGATCATGAGCCCTGATAGATAATTCAGTCGTGTGCCTTGTTGTATCTTTATTCACACTTGCTTCTCTTCTTCTTATTCTCTTGTTTATTCTCTCTTCTGACACTCGCTGTGGCTGTAAACTGGCAACTGGCATGATACAATATTATTCATAGCAACACTTGTTATCCTACTCTAACGTCTGAACCTGCTCTTATGGCACTGGAAGCGCCCACTGGACCTCGCCCAAATCTGGGGAATAAGACCTCGCTGGTCCTGTTCGTTATCCTTCTCTTGGCCTATGTTGTTCAGACGCAGATGACAGAGGTTCGCCCTTCTTGCTTCTCTTGACAAGCTCGGACTGACGAACTTTGCCTGGCAGTATGTACAAACCGCTTTAGAGTACCGCCAACCATTCTTCCTCTTGTGCGTCTCTCTTGCCCCATACCGTGTCGCACAGACTCGTTGATATCGTACCCCAGCTTCCTGACACATACCGCTTTCCTCGTGATCCTACCCCTCCATCTCATCCTCCTCCGTATCCTCAGCCCCACCCCAATATCCCACCACCTCAAAGCCCTCCGCTCTGCTATCTTCTCTGCACATCTCTCGACAAGTTGCTCGCCCACCGGCCCTGGTGCTCGGGCATGGGCGTATGCGAGGTTCGCCAGGCTGATGGTGGGCATGACGATGGGTGTTAGTGCTCCCAGCTTGTTGTGGTACTGTGCAGTTGGAATGACTTCGTGCGCCTTTCCTTTCCACACGTAGGGACCTGCTGACCGCTGCCTGAATCAGGATCTCCTCTGTAACAGCCCTCTTTAACACTAATGCCTTCTGGACCTATCTCCTCTCCCTCATCCTATTACACGATCGCTTTCGCGCTTTCCGGCTGTTCGCAGTTGTCATCGCCTCCCTGGGAGTGGTGATCGACGCATATGCTGGGACATGCTCTCCCTCGGTACCCTCGTCCCCTTCCGATGCAGCGGATTCACCGGGAAGGGGGGACGGTACAGCAAGCCGCGCGCTGCTCGGGAACGCTCTAGCATTTCTCGCCTCGGTAGCGAGTTCCTTATTCCAAGTCCTCTATAAGAAGTACGCGACCGGCGCTCCCTCCCCGAGTTCGTCCGGTACCGCCACTTCCTCCAGGGGTTACCGGGCAATACCCTCCGAGCCCGCGCCGGCCCTTCCAAGGCAAGACGATCGCAGAGAATCAGTAGTCGAAGATGGCGAAGTCCTCATCCTCCCACCGCAAGCGAAAGAACTTCCCTTTGCGCTGTATGCAAGTTTGGTTACCAGCATGCTCGGCCTGGGCACACTGTGTATCATGTGGCTCCCACTGCCCCTGCTGAACGCCTCGGGGTGGGAAAAGTTCACACTGCCCCAAGATTGGCGTACTACCGTGGGCATCATGCTCATCACCCTATGTGGAGTGACGTTCAATACCATCTTCATGGTTTGTCCGCCTCCCTCTCCCACCCTGCGCAACTGACTCCTTCTCAGATCCTCTTAAGCGTATGGGGCCCTATTCTCACCTCTGTTGGTTCCCTCCTTACTACTCTTCTCGTACTGCTCACCGACGTCTCTCTCGGCGGGTGTGTGACCGCGGGAAACTGGGTGGGGTGCAGCCTGATCGCTGGCGCTTTCGCGATACTGGGATGGGATGTACGGCAGGAGACGGGGAGCCATCAAGAGCAGGAACAGGAGCCGAGTGTAGGCTAATGAGAGGTACACGTAGATTGTAGGCACGGCCATGATGAAATCGCTGTAGAATATTGAATCTAATTATATAATATTGTTCCTGTTACAATAGGGAGCGTGGTGATGTACATGTATGCGCGATATTCTTACACTCCAGCACCGTCTCGGCCGAGGCGACACTCGAGACGTGCCCTCATGGACGTGTAAGCGGTGCATGGCAACCTACAGCCCGGAGGATATTCCGTCGCCTTGATAGATGATCACGAGGAACTGGCGTGTTGGGATAGTAGGCCTCGTGGATTGCGCGCAGTATCGCGGCGTCAAAGCCTCGGACGTCGGCAATACTTGTTACCGGCGGCAGAGGAGGTTCCAGCTACACAATCTCTGTTAGTTTGAACAGCAACGCTCGATGAACACGCACCTCGGTCAGGTGCCGGTAAGGGGGAAATGCGGTGCGGACGAGCATAAAACGTGGTTCATGGCGCATCTTCCTGTTAAACATCTATCAATAGATGAGTTTCTCAGTCAAAATGATTGAAGATTCTTCTGACCTTGGCAAGGATGATCGAGTCCTGGGCTGCCTGCAATGACAGGCAGTCCACCCGTCGACCGAGCTCATCTACCCGTTGATCGAGTCTGTCTAGTCGTGCGTTGACTTGCCCAGAAAAATCCTGAACCTCCCAATAAAGGTTGTTCAGGACGAGCTTCACTGGGGCGAGGGCATTCTCAACGGCCTGTTGAACCAGCGGCATGATCTGCCTGGCAATGGCGGCATCAATGCCTTCATTCCATGCGCCTTGAAGTTGTTCCGCGATGGCGGGGTTGTGAAAAGCAACGCCCAAGGCGTTGCCAAGATCCCCGACACTGATCTTGTCTTCACGCAAGACAGCAATGTCGTCCCTCGCTTGGCTGTCCACCGACCCCAGCGATGCCCTGTCTGTAATATGATCAGAAGATATCGCTAATTAGGATAGACTAAACGCACGATGGGAGTTTGCGTACGCCATGGGTACGGCCGTTGCATACACCTCTGCCATCTCAACATCCCCCCTTGTGACACCCTCGATGTCGCCTGCGCGCACAGTACAAGTCAGTAAATGAGAACAGATGTGTCCTAACAGGAAGGCGTCACCTATGAAATCCGCGTAAACGTGTCGGCGGTGATCCTGCGCGTTTACGAGATCGTCTACAGTGGGAGGGAGACGCTCAACCCACACGGGGGGAACGCCAGCGAGGTTAGCATGGAGTGGCTGGACAATCGGCATAATAGAGGGCCTGTTGAGAGTGTTTGTAGTGTGGGGCTAATGAGAGTGGTAAGGGTGGTTGGTGTGTGGAAGACGCGTCGCATCCTTTTTGATAGCACCTCAGCAGTCAGGGCTATGTGGGACGTTGCCTTTCCTCTTACTGAGACTTGTCGTCCCGGTCAGCAACTCAATAGGTAGTAGACAGACAGGGTGGCGCACACTGACTTGCGGTTTCACAACTGATGTGTGGAGGATACAAGCAAGGGAGAGAGTACCCATAGACTCGCATGAGTGGGGTTAGTTTCTGAGGACAAGAACCTCTGTCAGATGCCGAATTCGTGGACTAGGTACACCGGAGTAAAATCGGCTCCGATACAATCCCAAAAATCACATGCCGAACGCGTGATTTAAATTTATATAACACAACAAACAAGGGGCCGCAACTGCATCATCCGGTGCACGATGCGAACCTCCAGTTCACTTTCACTTCCGTCGCACCAGAACAGGCGCACCTCTTAGGATACCACCCCACTCCTATCTTCTCAAGCCATGCGTCCGGTATCACGGACAGCAACAGAGTCCCGATGTATGCGACGAACGCATTAACGGGCGTGCATGATAAGAATCAACGTGGACAGACCAAATGACATACAGACTCGGGATTCCGTGCTGCAACAATCATTGCGGTGCGAGTTCTAAGGACAGCAACCTCTGTCGGGTTTCATCATTCGCAGGCACCGGAATAAGTTCGGCTCCGATCTATCACATGCAAAACGCGTGAACGGATCCGTAGTTTATTTAAGTACCCTAGTGCAAGGCGCGTCCCTGTCCACTCTCTACGTCCTTCATGAGGCCGCAACTGCATCATCATCATCCAGTGCAAGCTGAGCCCCCCAAACTACCCATTGAGGGCGACATGGCATATCAGGACATCAAGAATGCAGAGGAAGATTTGGAATGTGTGCTAACCGCTGCCAGTATGTCTCCCATCCTCACATCCACGGGTTGCGCGATATCTGACGTTTTATGAATCAGAGACGGTTCAGAGAAATCAACCTGGCGCAATTCAGGTGGAGGATGCGAAGGTGTATTGCTTCGACGTACAGCATACGTTAGGGCAGCAGCGGCACGGTACGTGAGAGGGATTGTCTTCTTCGTGCCCTTGTTATTCCACAGGCAATGCGATCCCCTCTTCTCAAGAGCTCTTGGTCCAGATGAAGGACATGCGGCGCGAGATGGCGCAGAATTTTTTGGAGATGCGGCGTGAGACAAACCAGAGCTTCGTGGAGATCCGACGAACTCTTGGCCAGCACTCCGTTATGCTGCGATCCGTCCATAACATGGCACCTAAGGTAATGCTCGTTCTTTCTTTCAGTGCAGATTGGGTTACATTGTTTCCGAGGCGTCGAATGCGCGGCACGGCGATGGGAAGAACATTCCTTATGAAGTTGTTTTCCATGGGCCCATCGAAGACAACCTCGTACGCTCCCTGATCTTTCAAAGGACCATCCATATCTGACTAGCTACCTAGGGCCCGCAGCCGCCTATTACGTCGTTCCAAGTTATCCGGGGTGCCACGACCCGCGTCCTCTCCGGCTGGGAGAGGTATTATGACGTGGAAGTTGTTGGTGGTGCAGCCGTCTTGTTGGATCTTCAGCGGGTTATCATGCCGTGTGTGGGTGCCGACGTAAGTCTGCTCTCAGTTGTACGGATAATGCGTATACAATACTTTAGCTAATTATCGCGAGACCTGTTCTACTGAGACCTTTGTACAAGAACGATGGACACCCCCCGCCTTTTGATGAGACTTAGTCGTGCCCTGTTGCCTGAGCTGGATGAACGAAAGACAGTAGACGCTTCCCGGAAAGATCACCCGATTGCTTGTCCCCAAAGGCATCGCGATACCTGGGATTATACACCTTTGTACTAGTACAGTAAACATTCCACGCCTCTACTTCTGATTAGGCCTATTAATGTATCGTTGCCTGACATGGTGCAACGGAAGACAGGGGACGTTTCCCGTAGAGCACCCGGTTGACTGTCCCCAGAGGGATGTCAAACTCGTGCGGGACGGCGTCTGGTCGGGAGTAGTGCAGCAACGGGTTGACATCCCCTTCCATCTTGAGGATGTGTGCGCGCGTATCTGCATACTCGGGTCAGCACCAATACCAGGGGAATGCGGAGCATGCGGACCAGTTATCGTGGTCAGATCTGTGAAGGATGGTGTAGCTGACAGTGCGAGCCCGAGGTAAGTCAAGTAGGTTAGGAGAACGACGACAGTCGTCCATGCGGGCACCAGGATCGCCCATTCTCTTTCATCTTCGTGAGGCCCAATCTCACTTCCATCGCACCAGAACAGACGCACCTATTAGGATACCACTCCACCCCTATCCTCTCAAGCCATGCGTCCGGTGTCACGGCCCAAACAACATAGAGCACAAATAGCAGCAGAGTTCCGACGTATGCGGTGAAGCCGTAGACTTCGCGTGCGCGTGTGCGAGGTTGTGAGGCAGGCGAGCTGGGTGATGTGGGTGGAGGATAGGGAGCTATGGGTGAGAGGGGAGATGTTGGTGAAGCCGGAGGGGAGGGAGGCATCAATGACGAGGACAGGACATCCAAGGATCCCGGACGTTTCTCCACCTCTCCGTGATACTGTATCCCTTCATCCCTTGCCAGCGTCGTCCCTGAATTCCACCTAGGCTTTATTGCAAGCCAGCAAGTATATCTTCTCTTCCCTCCTGCTTCTGGTCTATCAGTATTCGTTTTCTCCTTCTGCGACTATGCTGCCTGCAATCATCTCCCCCTCCGTACTCGCCTCTGACTTTGGGCAACTCACGGCTGAGTGCAAGCGGATGATCAAGAATGGTGCAGAGTGGCTGCATATGGGTACGTTCCCAACCAATTTCCATCACACCCGCCCCTGATTCCCATCTAGACGTCATGGATGGGTACTACTGCTCTTTCAATACTGTCACATTGAATATCTGACCTGCGACTGCAGGCACTTCGTCCCCAACATCACAATGGGTCCGCCTATCCTGACTTGCGTACACAAGGCCATTCCGGACATCTTCATGGATTGCCACATGATGGTCGCGAACCCCATCCAGTGGGTAGACGATGTTGCCGATGCGGGAGGTGCGTTGTATTGTTTCCACATTGAGGCAACCTGTGCGTCTCTCCCCCTATAGCATCGCGATACCTGAGCTTGACAGTGGTGGGGGAATAGCAGATCCGCTCAGTGTGATCAACAAGATCAGGACGAGGAACATGCAGGTCGGCGTGGCTATATCCCCTGATACTCCCAGCACCGCGATCACCGATGAGGTAGCAGAGGCGGCAGACATGCTTCTTGTCATGACTGTGCACCCCGGTATGTTTTCACCCCTCCATCTGTGCATCTCTCCTTCCTCACTCGTTGCCACTGCAACCATTTACTGACCCCGTGGGGTGACCAGGACGTGGCGGGCAAAAGTTCATCGAGCGCTGCGTGCCTAAAGTCGCCGAGCTCCGCGCACGCTTCCCGAACAAGAACATCGAGGTCGACGGCGGTGTAGGGCCCAAAACAATCGACGTGTGCGCCGAGGCCGGTATGTCCTCCTTCATTTAACATTCGGTGGTGGCCTGTGTCCTGCGCTTGGCTGATCGGTTGAACAGGAAGCAACGTCATCGTCGCTGGCACGGCGATCTTCTCGGCTCAGGATGCGGCAGAGGTTATCAGGCAGCTCAAGGCGAGCGTGATGACTGCGCAGGCGAAGGCAGCTGGCAAGGCATGAACGCCTAGCCGATTGTTTGCCCTCGGGGTTGTAGAATTTCCTAGGGTCTGACAGGTGGAGCATGTAGAATGAAATAAAAAGAACGCAATAGAACTCCCAGGCGAGTTTGCTATATGTTTGACAGGAAGGAGAGCGTTGAAGAATGGGTATGCCATAATATTCAAGAGAGATTGTACGGACCCGATGAAGCTACTTGAATTATACGACGTCGATAAGGGATGACAAGGGGGAACGGAAGGTAGGAATGGGGGAACAAGTGCGCGAAGGGGACCAGAGGTACGAAACGGGAGAGGATCATGCAAGGGAATAGTCGTTGGGAGCATCGCGTCATGAGCTAGGTCCGAGACGAAGGCGAAGGATGGGGGGAATGAATGGTATGGAGACACAAGAGAAATCGCATGACGCCATGGCACGCAGATACAATATAATCACCATCCGTTACCACATAATCCACTCGCCATACATGTTTGGCCGCTCGCCCCTGACAAAGCTCTCAAACGTTCGCTTTAGTACTGTTGCCCAAGGGAGATCCCGCACATCATCCGTCACCAGCTCCTCCTTAAATAGTGCATCCTCGTGTTCCTGCAAGGGAGATACGCCAGACTCAGGCGGCAGCGTTGGCTTAGCACTGTCATAGCCGGAGGACTTGCCATGTCCCGGCTTAAGCGCGCTTTGTGCCTTGATACGGGCATTCCGCTCGCCCTCGATGAAGCGAGGACCCAGATCAGGCCAGTTGCGGGATGGGTCAAAAGGTATCCACCTTCTTGAGTGTTAGATGAAAAACCAGCACACTCGAGGAAAAGGACTCGCCAGAAGTTATGGAAATGATAGGAGTATGCGCCCTTGAAGAAGCCGTCAAATCCAAGTGCCTGTGGTGCACCACTGGACTGAGCAGGGTTATCAAAGAAGTCCCTGAACCTGTGTGCGAGGTCAGCCGACTACTATCGCGCAACATGCAAGAAATATACTCTGTAAAGTATGGGAACGGCGGTCTATCACGCTGGTAGTTTTCCGTGTTCAGCCATGCCGGGTCGAACAAGGCATCAGGCAACCTGAGCAGCAGGCCTTCTAGATGGGCCTCTTTCGTATATCTGCTGACGGTCATCGGGTGGAAGTCGAGTCCATTTCTAAGGGCAGTTCGGAAGAGGAAGGATCCTAATGCAGAACCTTTGTTCATCCTGAGGACAGCGGTATTGTACTTCTCCAGTCGAGACCAGCGATATGCGAACGCGCCTTTCCAACCCCACAGCTCTTCCCAGTCGCGCAAGAGAATGGTGTCCGCATCAAGATACGTACCGCCAAAACGGTGGCAAAGAACAAAGCGAGCCATGTCAGAAAGAACGACAGAGAGACGGTCATAGCTGCTGACGCTGTCTGACCCGACACGGTTGAACAAGTCGTCATCCCCGCCCTTGCGCTCGGCCTCTTCGGACGCGGACGTAGTCCCGTTCACGGCAGCAGAAACGTTCCTCTGCGCACCCGGTGCTGCAGCTTTCGGGTGGTTGTACTTCACACCGCCAGAATTGAACAGCGTGTCTACGCTATCGCGCCATTCTTCCTTCAACTCAGGGACGCCATCCAGCTGCTCGGTCGTGTTCCAAAGCTTGAACTTGATGACGTCTTGGAAGCGCTCGTGCAAGAAAGGACTCGACCACGGGTTAGCACGAAGAGTCTCGTACATGTCCCTTTCTGCAGTTAAGCTGGGGACCGCAGCTGCAGCAGCAGGGTTGATCCAGAGCCAAAACTGAGGCCGACAGATACCATGGCTACGGAAATAGTCGGTCGCTTCTTCGCGAGGCATGTGTAAACCGAGGTTCTGAGTGAAGAGGAACGAGAGCAACGCAAGATATGGCTTGTCAGTGAACGGCCCAGCCCAGAACATGTGGTATATGCGAGGATGATCGGGGTCGCAAGGATCCGGTACAGCGCTTGCGTCTTCTGGGTCAAAGGCAGGCGGACGTCGAACGGTAAGAGGCGGAGGAAGGGAAAGATGCGGCTCGAGGGGTCCGTGTCGAGCAAACGTGAAATCGGACTCGTAGGTGCTCGCCACCGCTTGTTGGTACGAGAGTGACGGATCTAAATCGACGGCGCCGGTTCCGAGCGATTCCTCCTGTTGTCTCTTGAGCATCGCTGCCTTCTCCTGCATAGTTTCTGGCTTCACATTGCGTTGAGCGTTGGGGTTCTGTGAGCTGGATGGTGTGGTGCCGTTGTCTGCGTGCTCGGTGTAGATGTACCTCCATTCGTCTAGCCTTGCTCGCCGTACGCGCTTGTTGTTGTCTACTCCAGCCCCAAGCCTCAAGACTTCTAAACAATCCCGAACATACTACAAGGGAATAGTCAGCTCACAGTACATTGCCATGCGAGCAGAAACATACCTTGTGCGTGGAGAAATCACAATGTTGCATAACCATGTCAAGGTCGGCAACGCTGCCGGGTGGTGGACGGGGTGGGTATGCGACGTCCGGCACGGGCGCCCGAATGTCAGGGTATTTACGAAGGTTTCCGACACCAGGGTGCGCATCAGGGGAGAAAGGGTGGAAAGCTGCGGGCGCTGGAGGCAGTCCGGGGTTGGGGAAACGCGGGGGAACGCCAATCTGGTCGGGAACTGCGGCAATTTTGTTAGCTTTGGCTCACAGGAAGACTATAAGCGCACTTTTTCGCCCACTGGGATAGTGCCCGCTGGCGATCTCCCACAACCAGATCTTCCTCAGATCGTCCCGACTGTACACAAGCGTCGGGGGGTCACCGTACCACTGTGTGTCAACATGGCCGATGTCCAATCGTCTGCTCAATGTAAATATAAGCCAGACAAGCGCTACTAAGGCAAGTAGGGCAAGTGTCGACGTTCTGCGCCTACGGAAGAGCGGAAGGCGCAGTACGTTGCCGCAAAAGTTCCATATCCGGGGAGGGATTGGGAGCGTAACGCGACATCGTCGTCGGGGTGGTGGTGGAGGTGTTGCTGAGAGAGATCCAACTGGTCTGGATCTCGGGCTACCTCGAGGAGAGCCACGTCGAAACGGGTTTGGGAAGAGGGTAGAGAGGGGGAAGGGGGAGGGTACGAAGACCGTCGTCGTCCAACCGTGGTTGCGCGCCACGAGGGCCTGCTTCTGTTCGATGAGGTCGACATAAGATGGTAAGGGTGAGAGGCGCGATTTTTCTCTGCTGATGGAAGTTATGAGAGAGAGGCGCCGGTGATGCTGCGGCACGGAGTCGTGGTTAACCGGGTGGTTCGACGAGGATGAGGAGAAGAGGGAGGTCATTGGGTCATCGACAGGATGCTTGAACGGGCGAGAGATGCCGTAGCCAAGCTTTTACTAGGTAAACAGATGGGTAAAGTGCCGCCGAGGGTGTCGGATACGGTATGAGATGCGCTGCAAAGACCGAGACAATTGCAGAGTAAATCAGCAGGAGGTGCAGGTCATTAATGAGATGAGGAAGGGCTGGATAGGAAAGGGGAGACGGTGGCTGTTGTGGTCGCTGACTGTGAGGAGTGTATGCGCTGCACAGCGAGCTCGACAAGAAAGACGACGAGGACGGGGCAGAGCGGATTGGCGCAAAACCGGTTCGTGCGACGTGTGAGCAGCGTTTGGGCGACACCGATGGATCGGTCAGGGCTGGGCTTCACTCTGAGAACGGGACTCACACGGAGGCTTTTCGGCCACAGGAAAGTCTATGGAAACTTGTTTATGATTACTGCGCATTTCACGTATTCTTGCGCTCATTCGCACTGGTTCCGAACAATGCTTTATTAGAGAGCGACATGGTGAACAAGTCATTTGCATCATTTAGGCACTGGATCATCATCGCACACACTGCAAGGGAACGAAAGGTGGATAGCTTGCACCACACCACACTGCCGTAACAAACCACCGGGATCACGATACTCTTTCTTCTGTAACCCCGACCACAACACAAACTAGTCATCAATATCATACCGGATGCAGATCGATGCAGACCATCTGATGCCTAACTTCCCCTTATAAGCCCTATATGCCAGCGTGTCCGGAATGACATCGCTTGTGGGGGCAGACTTCTCCGCAGCCATTTCCACGTTCAGAGGAATCTGACCATAATCAACTCGGGAATTGCCACAACCACAAGATGGGTGGTGTCAATGATCATCTCAAACCACTCCAGTGTAAGGAGCACACCCAACACGGGATTTCTCATATTCACCGCTCAACGTGTGCGTTGGAGCGTCGTCAGCACGACAATGACGTCAATGCATAGCTTCCGCACTTCAAATTGACGGTGACGATTCCCTCGACTCTACATTTCCCGGTTCGAATCCTCCCGCTGTAACACCGCGACAATAGGAAATGGGAAACTTCAATAGTGGGTATGGGCGGACTGCCGGATGAGATCAGCTTGCATATGTAGTCTCTCGAAGGTATGGAAGTTCAGTCGGGCTCGAGGAAGTCCTACCACGGTTGTCAATCGTTCTGAATGAAACTGTCAGCGCCAGCCACAAACTGAATCCTTTTCATGCACAGAAAACCTCTGGTCAAATTCGATTCCTGTGCACATGTTGGCAGAGAATCTCCGACGCTCCTGACAATGCCCCATCGAGAGCTCTTGCGCGCCGGGAGGAGCTTCTGGTTTACTCCAGGAACATCAGGCTCATTCACACGAGTGCTTGGATCCTCGGCCTCCCCAGACTGAGCACATCTGCATCGTATTCCCTCCTCGCAAAGTTCCAGAACAGGCTATCCTTCTATTGTTCATTTGCAGCCATTTCCACGTGGGCGGTGTTTGCGTGGAACTTCCCCTCGATGTTGAGGGCTGCGCCCGCGCTGTTCGGGAGCCCGATATCATAATAGTCCTCGATCGACGTACGGGGTGCCGTT